GTTGGCAATACCAGCGGGCTAGCCAACCCAGAAACAGCAGGGAAAGCAGGCGGAGTGCAGGCATATCATCTGAGAAGGAATGGCAGTGTTGGGGATTTATTTTTATCTCTGCTGCTGTTTCAAGCCGATAGTTATCTTTGCTTCCCAGGTATCAAGCAGGTTAGAGAAGGGTAGTCTGCAGGAAGCATTTGCAGGTGGGCTGAAAGTGCCTACTAATTTCAAATACCATATAATTTAGTTTTTCAGGTCCAATCTTCTCCCCAGCCCTCCAAAAGAAAATAAATAATTTTTAAAAATTTCTGAATGCTGTGCGAAATTTGGAAGTTAAAAAAAAGAGAGAGAGAGAGAAGGAAAATCCAACCTCTGGTTCTTTAGATCTAATGACTCCACTGCATGAGTTTTATAGCACTGTTCAGGCCTTTAAAGTTAGCATTTAAATGCTGATTAAGTCTTCAAGTCACTGTGCCTTTTAGGAAGACATACATTTAAAACTTGTTTGGCTGGCTAGTCCTTGTTTATTCTTGGAAAAGTGTGTGACTCGGTATTTTACAGGAGACACTCTGTAGAACTTAAAGAAAATATTTTCTATTTTCAGTCCTTTTCATAAAAATAATTTCTAAATGATATATGCAAAACCAACTTCTATTTTCTCAAGCCTCTGGGATTGCTGAGTCTGAAGCAAGCAATTAAATTACAAAGAATTTTGGAATGACAGTCTTGTAACAAGTACTGAGTTAATACTGGTGTCTGGAATCCCATTTACTGTGAGAAAGTTAACACTGCTTCTCAGTGTCCTGGGTTAATCAGTCCCTGACTTCGAGTCCCTGGGGCTGCAGGCAAGTCCACTCTGCAAAGCCACCACACACCAGAGATGTGGCCCTTATTTGCTGGAGGAAACCTTGCCATTTCAGATTTTATCTGAATTATAAACATACCACAGATCTACCTTTTTGTGTATGTGTGCGTACACGGTTTTAACAGGCCTTCTGGAGTTTTACATACCTATCACCAGGATATAATATTTTACATCTCAAGAAACCTCTGTTTAAAGCGCTCATTCATTCCAATCAGAAATACGCATAGAAGCCTTGATCCTGACAGTCCTGTTTCCACAGAAGTTCCCAGTGGAGCATTCTCGATTAAGTCCTACATTATTAATTCTTTTCTGAGTATTAGTCTGATTGTGTTTGGCAGGCTCCCAGTGCCCTGAAGGCGGATCCCATGTCTTACCCATTCCTGTATCTTTGTACACTAAGCACTTAGCGAAGTATCTGGCGCTAGTAAGGGCTGAAAGAAATGTGCAATAAATAAGAAACTTGCGGAATAAACCTATTAGCACATCTATTGATTAGATACCTGTTTATAGTTTACTGTGAAAAAGTTATTTTAGTAGATAACTGCATCAGCAACAACTGCCATGACTTGAAAATACTGAGCTAACCTGCTTTGAGCACCTCTCCTTTTAACGCTGTGCAGTAATAGTGCGGAGGACTTTCCCCTGGCGGTGGTGTGGAGACCTAGAGTGTAGTTTACAGCTGAGTCCAATCACTATGGCTTTAGACAAGAAACTTTCAAAACATAAAAATACAGGGTTTAGTTTTTAAAACTTCATTGGAACACACTTTTTGATAAAATTTTCACCTGCCACATATTCATTATCCAGTTAAAATATAAGAGAAAGAACTAGTATTTTGATGTGTATAAAGCTTCCCTGACAATGAAGATGTGGCTTTTGGAAACCAGGCGCATTAGACCAGTACATCTCTCTGTTGTAACTTGAACACTTCAGTACTGTAGCCCACGTGACTCTTACCAGCTACCTTTTCTGTTCAATTAGAATGGCCTATAGAAATGGAAAATCTAGAAAACCTTCAGTCAGGAGTAGCTTAGGGATAGATTACAACTGTGAGGATAACTGGTTGACCCATACTCTTCAAAACCAGCAAGGCATTTTTGGCTGATTTATGCAGCTCCTGATATTCATGAGTTTAGAAATCACAATCAACTGCTCCTATTGATATTCCCTCCTCTTTCTGAATCCTTTTATAAAATGCCACCATTACCATTCAATTTCCGGAGCACCCTCTTCCACTAAGGCAAAGGGATAAAATGAATTGTTAAGGATACAATTTACATTTTTTATGCTATAAAAGCTGCTGCCCAACTGCGATGATAAAAATCCAGGTAATTAATGATTCTCAGATTTTTTTTTTTTTACTCTTTAACAGCATACTGCTATACTTTGTTTAATGTTCCAGCCTGCATTTATTTAGAAGAAAATTTCAACCTATGAGAACATGTTCAGGCACAAAAGTAAATATGCTTAAAAGCTAACCTGCCAAGGCCCAAATTCTGACCTTCTAAAGACATTACTGAGGGGGAAAAATCCTGTAATTAGTAACAAGGAACAGCATAACCATGCAGTGCTTAGCATCAGGGAAATGGGATATAATTTTAACACTAAATGTTTACTTTTAAAATGATATTTAAACAATACTTCGGTTATACTTCAAATATGTCTACATATGACATTAGCATGATAATTATATATTTCCAATCACATTTGATGTAAAACTGTAAATCTGTTAAGATTTGCCAAATCCTTTCTAGGAAAACTTTCAAAGTTTTTGAAACACTGTATTAAAAGACAACTAAAATTCTCAGTAAGAAAAAGTGTCTTTTGTGGAAAATCTAAATTGAAACCTTCCATTTTAAAGTCCTAAACATTTTCCACATAGGAAAACTTTGTAAGCATACTCCTTCAGGGTTTCTAAAGCAATCAGCACCGGCAATGTTAAATGATCACTGCTCTCGAGAAAAACAGAGAAGCATTGTACAGAAGACCCTCACATTTGGGTCTCTGCATATTCCCTGTGGGCTGTGCCAACCCACTCTCTCCCTTGTAATGACTCTTTGTTTTTACTAAGTCCCAAAGGGCTGGTGAGAGAGAGCTCGGCAAAGGGGGGAGGGGTGGATGGAATGCAGCTGCAGGCTCTGAAACAATGCTGAGTCCATATATTTTGTTCCCAGTTAGAATAATAAAAAAGGGACTGCGGTGGGGGTGGGGGTCAAGGAGACAGAACCCAGAGTAAGCAAGGTGGGGCCAAGTATTCCATAGCCCTCAGTTGCAGCTTCCTTCCCACCAGCCCCTCCACCTTCTTGTCTACTATCCAACAACAATGCATTTGCGTTAAAAAGCTTATCTGTTAAAATTGAAACACCCATTAAGATTTAAAGAAGCTATCAGTCATTTATATTTAAGTTACTTTTAACAGTGAACTATACTCGGGCAAGGATGGAGTAGGAAGAGAATGGAGCTTGCAAAGATAAACTGGGGAAGCTTGGACACCTGAGACAGGAAAGCTTGGGGGAAGTAGGTAGGAGAATTCAGAAAAGGATGTCCACAGTCTCAAATATAAATTGCCTGCTTTACAATGGTGCCCGTGGCCTGGGGGACATTGGCATGCCAGAGAAAACCATATTCCTTTTAAGACTGCTAAAAGCGGCATGTGTCTGAACCAAGCGTTTGAAAGCCTGCACAGGTTGGTTCCTCATTATTCAGTCTAACCTGGTGCCTCCTAAGAACCCCTCAGAAAATGTCCTTCACTTGCATTGGCCTGGTCTCCACGTATCAACTGGGAGAAAGAGAGAATTTAAGGGGAAGAAGCAGAGTCCCAACAAGGTGCCAGCTGCTGGTGAGGGAAAAGCAGCTCAAACCTTACTCTCCTCTCCTAGGTCTTACCCTCTCCTCCCAGACAACCCTTTACTGACTCCATGGAGCCCTCCAGGGCTCAGGGACTTAGGCCTGCCGCCTCTGGAACATCCCTTCAGATATTATTGCCATTAACATTTCCCAGAAAACTCAAGAAGCCTTGAGTGAACAACTGAAACTAATACCTTGCACAGAGTCAGCATGAGCTAAAAAGGCTACCCAAATAGCTGTAAAAAAAATTTTAGGAGAATGCTTATTTCAATTAGGATCCCACTCATGAACACTCAGTAACTGGGGAAGAAAAAAAAGGACTTCGTAAAGATATCATGTAGAAAAGCTCTGACATCCACACACAAACATCTCCTTCAAGTGAGTACTACACAGATTTAAAAGTACTCCTAGTTGGTATTGAAGGATAATAATTAATCACTTTTTTGGAATGTTTTCAAGTTACAAAGTTTAGAAGGGCTGTATTTATTTACATTGAATTTTTGCATTTTGTGACATGATGCAAAGTCACAAGTATGTAGCTCTATAGTAAGGACAAGTATAATCTTCACCCTCAGTTTATCTTTATAGTTTTAAAATCCATTTACAGATATTCCAACTCTTCATACTATAACCAGCACATAGAGACAAATTCAGAAATGAATATTAATTTCAGTGAAGGAGTGAGTCTATTTATTAATATTAATAGTAATAATTAAATAATACTGACATTACTGTAAAGCTTGTCATCTTTCATAAACACAAAATTCACAGGTGCATTTTATTCGGAATTATCATTTATTATGTTTTTAAATGCAGCAATAAAATAGACATAACATTTTATTTATTCTGTGTACTGGAAACTCAATTTTCTGTTTATACATTTCATTGCCTAGTATGTACAATCTAAGAAATTAAGTCAACAGCTTGCAAAAGTTTAATAGAAACAACAATCACATAATTATAACTTTCCTGAAATTAAGAATTCCTTGTGACTTAATTGTGGTAAACAAAACATATTCTCATAGTACTTTGATCTATGTTATACTTCAATAAAAAGATTAAAAAACGTAATTTCCCATGATTTGGAAAAAAGGACTCTGAAGTATATCTGAATTATTTTTTAAATAAATCAAGAAGAGAATTCAAGTGTCTTAAAAGTGTCAGAAATTTATGTTTAGTCACCAAGTTCACAAAATGAGTGACAGTATATTAAGAGGCACAAATGAAAACAAATTTAAGAATTAAATATGTGTGTAAGAAAAATAGATTTTCTTGCTAAATCAATAAGAGTACTCACCCCTTGGAGACCTTGGAACTGAATTGAAGGTCGAAAAGGAATTACATTCTATTAAAAGAAACATAAGAAACAAACAGGTCAAACTTGGTTACTGTGAGACAGAATTAAATGTTTAAACTTAAATCTGTGCATTTGGTCATTGCTATATTCTGTATCTTTTCATTATATACTTAGGTTTACATGTCATTATATTAAGATGCCTTGATGAATAGTATCGCACTATTGACATTTCTCTGAATCACTCAATCAGAAGTATCTTTTGGCAGTATAGCTAATCAAGTTTTTGAAAATGACCGACATGGATATGGCAAAAAATGATTAGTATACTAATTTGACTTTACATTGAAAAAACATACTCTTGTTTAGTTTTTCATGTTTTTTAAAAGGGGTGGGGACAGGTAAGAGATAATTGCAAGAACTTGCAAAACTCTTAACAGGATGCTCGAAATGTAAAATTAAATAAATATTTAAAACTTAAAGAAATATAAAATTAAAGTATTTGAGAATGAACTGTGGTTTCCATTTTCTCACATTTTACCAAAGATTAATTTTTAGTTGAGGGTCAAAATTTTTTTCACAAGATTCTCACCAGGAGGATATTATTTCTAGAACAGTGTTTTGTTTTATTATGCGCTCGCATAGCTTTAATAATATTTTATCATAGATTTATATATTTAGAAGAAAACCTGTAATTGTAAATATCTACCGTAGTCTCAGGCATGGCTTCCTCCATCCAAATCGCTATCAGAAATTCATGGAGAAATCAGATTTGGGTAACAATTAATAATAACACATCAGCCTGTAAAATATCTTTCACATCCTTATATCCAAATCCAATGTGGAAAAACAAACAGTGGTTTCTGGTCTCATCTCTACCTCCAATAAAAACACAGAGGTAGGCACCCCTGTGCCTCTCCGTCCCTTCAGCTCCATCCATCCCTTCAGTCACTGCACATGACCTACTATCCTACTTCCAGTTACTTCCCAAAACTCTGCAGATTTAAAGCTTTATTAATCAGGATTACAATTAGCTGAAGAGAAATAAGGAAAGGAAGAGAACGTCTCTAAAAGAGATCATCTGAATATAAAATCATGTGGTAGCTCAAACCATTCTGTTATTTATTTATATAAATGGATCAACATCCTTTTGGAGAAAACACAATAGACACAATTATCATTGTTCTACTACCCTAAAATGATCATTTTAACTTCAGACTTATCAGCAAACTCAAAGTACTCCTAACAAACTCATTCTTGATGTGGGAGAAGTGGGTTTTTAAAAAAGGGAAGACAGTATAATATTAAGAAAACTCTGCAAACCAGGAAAATTGTAAGTTTGAATATAATTCAATAGATAACGTTTTGTTTTATTTTTTCCTGAAGCTTCAGTAAGGTTTTGTTATCCAGCATGAGAAGCAGAAACGCACAATCATACATTAGTTTTAAGAAAGGACGCATTATATTAGCATCTAAGTGAGGGTGCTTGGGAACATTCCCATATTTCTCACATAAGATAGGATTTGAGGAATCTAATTAATTATAAAAAGCAATGTAATTATGTGAACAAACACAAATTAAAAAGACAAATTGAACCTGACATTGTATTTAAAATGCATGGAGACATGAAATACATACTGATAATGCGTATCTCAAAAAAAAGGGGAGGACAGAAAGGTAATCCTTGAAATTTTAAAATAATTTTTAGTAGGGATTCATTCTAATTCATGGCATTTTATGAAAATATAAAATATAGATTACTGCTAACTTGCATTTCCTGAGAGCGTGAAAACCCCACCCATTGCTAAACCTTGCTGAGGTAATGGCAGTA